CAGATACCTCGGATGTAACCTTCTCATACTGTGCTACTTTGACATATAAGGTGAATTTAGGATTCTGATTATATTTCCAAGTTATTCCTGCAGGCTACCATGTTTTATAATACTGAAAAATAAAAAAATTCACTTAATTTTAATTGAACAGCAATATCACCTTGAAATAAACCCCTAATCAACTGCAGCTAAAACATACCTCAAATACTTTTCTTTAGTATTCATAAAATCTCACACTTCCAATATTTTACACAATCAAATAATGAAATCTTATCATAATAGTTGGAAAACATACATCACAAAACAATGACATAATAAAACACGTTGGAATGCTTTATGATGAAACTTTCAAGTTAACTTTACAACATTTTTGTCTCACGTAGCATAGCACAACAAAAATAAGATTCTATGCAACGGATATTCCACAATATACACAGTATATTCAATATATGTATTAAAATTTAATCACATTTATGACATACCTGTTCAATCCTCTCAATTACTCAGAAGTATTTCATGTACTTCCTAGTTTGTTGTATTTGATACTTTACCAAAAGTTCAACATCAATTTTCATCTTTCATGCTTAATATACTTGAAAAGCAATAGTAACATTTCCCAATGCATTGTCTATAACCAAGAGCTACATAGTAATTTCATACAAAGGTAGATTCATACAAGGTAGACACTTCCATGTCTTCCAGCCAACCATGGATATAGTATTGCTGATTCCTGAGTTGCCTTCAAAGCATATTTATATTTTACAAAGTGATTGGTTTCTTTTTTTAAACATACTAATTTCTTTAGTAGGCATACCTCCTTTGGCCCCAACTGTACACATGGACTAAAATTTTTAAAATTGTTCTGCTCTGTCCTGGGCCCCTAACTTTCACTAAGTCTTACTAAAACAGCCAGTTCAGCCAGCCAAATAGCTCAGCAGATTAAAGTGCCTGCAAGCAGGCACAGGGGCTGGGGGTTTGATCCCTGGACCTGCTGTGCTGGCCCCGCCCCCGGGGCATGCTGAGATAGCAACTGAGACTGGGCATGGTGTCACGCTCCAGTAACCCCAGCTCTTGGGAGGCTGTAAACAGGTGGATCACTACGAGTCTGATCTAGTAGTGAGACCCTGAACACCCTCCCCACCCCCCGCAAAAATAAAAGCAGCCAGTAGTGTCCATGTCAC